TCCTCTTCCTCAACACAAACATGTCCCTCTCGCACACGGCCGCCGAGTACATGCTCTCCGATGCTCTCCTCCCGCATCCCAGCGGTTCCCGAGCCAAGGGCCTGCGGCTGGAGCTGCCGAGCGATCGCCTCCTGAAGTTCGTCACCGTGGGGCTGCCCCTCTTCCTCGTCTCGCTGGCTTTCGCCCAGGAGTTTTCCGCCGGTGAGTGGCGGGATCTGCAGGGCGGTTCCGTTGTGTTTGCACCGGCACGGTCACGGGCCGAGGCGGAGTAGCCTGGAATTCCTGTTCAAGAAACTGTTGCCGTCTCAGGGATGTTTATTGATTGTTTTTATTGGATTATCAGTCACTGGGAAAGCCTGGGAATGGCCATCCTAAACCCTGGGACCAGTGGTGCCTCAGCTGCTTGGCCCCCAGCACCTTTGGGGTGCCATGGGTTGTTTCTGGGGAGCAGGGTGCCATCGGGGCAGCTCAGGGCGTATGTTCCGCGTGGGTTTTCGGGCAGCACAGGGGGTTGCATTGACGGCACGGCACGGCCTTGTGCTAAATCTGGCCTGGGCTGCTGTCCCGCTGCTCTCCCTGGGGATGTGGTTTGACTCCAGTCTCTAATTCCCCTCCGCTGCGTGCTCAAAGGGTCTGTGTTCGGGAAGCGATGGAAAAGTCCTTGCTGGAAAACAGCAGCGGGGAAGGACAGCTGCAAAATGTCCATGAAAAGGGCGTTTTTAACTTTTGGATGTAATCTCCCTCCTGTAACGTGTCGGCACGTGGCTGCGGAGCGCTTGCCCGACCTCAGGGGCTGAGTTGCCCCTTCTCCTCCCCCCTAGGCTCACAGATCAGCTGCTTCTCCCCCACCAACTTCACCGGGAAGCAGTCTGCCTATGCCGACACGGCTTGCTGGGACTCCCTCCTCCACCACAGCTTCGACGCCGAAGGACGTGCCGTCACCAAGTCCCTCTGGGCCCTCAAGGTACGGGTCGAGCTTGCGTCTGGCCGCCCCCGGGTTTCCCCCGAGCACGCGGCAGAGGCAAAGCAACTCCGCGCCGCTCGCTTGTCTCCTTCGCCCAGGTCTTCCCCTACTCGCTGCTGGTGGTGGCGGTGCTG